TACAGCATCTGATGACTGTCAATTATGATTACCCCCTGAGAAGGGTCCTGTTGGGCACTCAGCTGAATCCTGAGCAGTTGCCTTCCCTAGGCACTGGAATGGGCTGCCCAGAGTCACCACTCCAGAGGTGTCCAAAAAAAGACTGGACATGATGACACCAGTGCCATGGTTAATTAGTAAGGTGATGTTAGATTATAGGTTGGACTTGATGATCTTGAAGGTCTTTTTCAATCTAGTTAATTGAGTGATTCTGGGAAGTCTAAAAGTGAAGATATATTCAGTTTTGTTGAGAATTTTTGTTGTGAGAGTTCTTGAATAATTAAAGCGATTCATGATTAGATCACTGTATTTACAAATTTACCATTTTTCACTTGAATTGAATTTTGTTGGTTTAAATTACACAAGTTCTCAATGTAGAAATTGAGGTGACCAAAACAAATGGCCTGATCTGAGGGTTTGTTGGTTATCACATGGGTGCAGAGTTGAATTTCACTGTATTCAAATATATGGGTACTGTTCTTGGACACAATGCAGTCAGAGCTGGATATCAGAAATAATACTGCCCAGAACAGAAACCTTTGAGACCTAATTGTTAATTACTCTGTCTTGCATCTTCATTGCTATTAAAAAAAAAATAAAAATCTTCTAATAGTGTTGTAGCTCGTTCCTGAAGGCAGGGTAACTGACATTCTTACTAATGTATCCCTTGGGGCAGATCAGAGTGAAAGAGCACTGAATGACAATTTTATACATACATATATATATATATATATATATGTGTATAAATATACAATTTGGTTGCAATGGGAAGGAGATTGTAACCATTTTGGTTATTATTATATATAGTAATATAACAATATAAAAGTATAAAGATATCATTTAAGAAAATGTCTAAGAAAAAGAAAAAGAAAGTCTAAGAGTAGATGGTGGGGAGAAAAGGTATCACTACCTGTGGATCCAGTAAGAAAACCTGATTGCTGCAATTTCAATATCTGTTGTTAAAAGTGGTATTCACTGTCTTGATCAGGGGTGGGGGAAGCCCATGAAACAAAGATTTCAGTGTGTGAAGGTGGGAATGCCCAGCTCCCTCCCCAGTGGGAGTTTTACACTGTGCATCATGCAGAGTCCTCTGGAGGAAGGCCCCAGAAATAATTACAGGGGTACTTTGATTGCCACTGGTGCTTGCTGGTGACATCTGTCCCAAAACTTGGGGTAATATGTCCATAAACAGTGGCTTCCTTTCCACAGTTTGCCACAGTGGAAATTTTTGTCCAGATGCATGAACCAGGATGTGCTAACCAGATCTCACCTCTGCCAGGCCTGGAATTAGAACTTTCCTGTTGTGAATTCCTCATTTCTGTGCTTATCCGAAGTTTCTGCTGTAGTGGCTTTTCTTGTGGCAAGTTCCTTCTGTGTCTTTGACACAAACAGCTCTGAGGGTTTGATTTGATTTGTGACTCACTGTGGTGTATTGGCAGTTGGCTTTTTGTCTCCAGCTCTCTGCACAGTGTGTCACAGAAGATAATATGAAGGAAAAGAGAAGTGCATGCATAATTTATATTAAATTAAATTTTCAAGTTCTGGAAATCTCCTTGTTTCTGCAAATTGCTAACTATCAGGCAATAGAACAAAACATGTGTCAGCTGAATACCCATGGGGCAGCCTGGGATGGACAGATGACCATTCAATGCTCAAACATTTCTGGGGGAAAGAGGGTGGTTGTTCAAAGTGATTGCTAAAACTCTATTGTTACCACCAGCATGTATTTTTTTTAAAACAAAAGCCCAACAGATCAATAACAAAAAGAGACCATCAGGACTAACACACATTTTTCTGTTGTTTAGAAATGAATGGAAGTGATGGCCTTTGAACCAAACCTTCCATGTAAATAATGTTAAATTTGGAAGGTCCATAATTTTGGCATATAGATTTTCCTGTAAACCTATATGAGTTTTGCTGCATTACCTCTACAGGAGCTAACTTGTTTTTGATCATAGGATCATAGAATGGTTTGGATTAGTAGGGGACTTCAATTCCAATCCCCTGCCATGGCTAGGGAAACCTTCCACTAGGCCAGGATACTCAAAACTCTATTCAGCTGGCCTTGAACTTAGGTTTTGATAACATCCAGTTATCTAGTTATTTTATGAAATTCAAGTCACTGTCATAATTTCTACTTACTGAAAGTATCATTTAATGTAGAATAATTTTCTTTTTTTCATGAGTCTGTCATATTTTGTGAGCTGTCAATTGCTGAAGTAGACAATACTGATATTGGACAAGACATTTAATTTGCTTTCCTAAGTTTCTCTGCTCAAGTGTGTATTCAAAGTCCATTGGTTAACCTCAAGGTCTTGAATCTCCTAGTAAAATACAACTTCTGTTCTGCAAATTTGATATTCGCTCCTCCCCTTTTTGGAACCAGAGGTACTGCATGAAAGAAAAAACTAAAGTTGCAAAAGGAAAAAGTGTTTTAATTCACTGTTTGGTCTTTCTCGAAATAACAATTTTAAATTAAAAAGTATGTTGCATTAGCATTAATTGTAAAGTTTACCTGTTCTTCTGAAATGAAATGTTAGAGCTAGATCTGTGTTTCATTTAACCTCAAGCAATATGAATTGGATTTATTTCATTGGGGATTTTATAAAAACTTTAAAATACAACATTTCATTCCAAGTAAAAGTTCCATTTTGAACAGGATAGAATGCTTTTACTCCTCCATTAATTAATAACTAGGTTTGATTCCACTGAGCCCATTTGTCAGTTCTAGTTTATACTGTGGGGTTTAAGTGAAAAGAAATTATAGAATGAATTAAAATTTATGATTCAAAGAATTCTACTCCACAGTATTGGCCTGTTTGGGGGGAGCCTGTGTCATGCAGGGGGTTGATGCCCCAAAGAGAGGCTGGAAATAAACCCCCATAGAGTGGTGTCCATGGGACAGGTGTTTGTTTATTGCAGCACTAAGGTAAGGGGGATATTTCCTCCTAACTCAGCCACCTCTGTCGAGTGCTGTGGTATATTTACACAGTAAGAATTGTTAAGTGTTCCTGTGTCAATATAACATTGTCATATACACACCAGAACTAATGTACATAGTATTGATCTCGTGGTTATTAGATAGTTCTGCACTGCACTTGGGCTTCCCCAGCTCAGGGGTCGTTGGGGGTCTTTGATGAAGGCTTCCAAAATCTTTTTCACATCTGAACTTTTCAATTTTGTCTTCAGAGCATGTGCAGTCATGGGGGTCCTTGGTCTGTCTGGTACTAACCAGTCTAAATTGTTTGTTTTGTGGCTAATTGGCTTTACATTTGCCCATTTCTCCTTAGTACTACTTATCTATCTCTGAAACGATCTATCTGGTGAATTTGTCATTTTTTTTCTTTTGTCTATACAGCGTTAAGCAAGTAGTTAGCCATACACTAGCCATCACATTGTCTAAACAGTTGTTTTAATCAAGTTATACAGGTATAAAAAAAAACATGATTTGAGTTATATAAGTATAAACAGCTACAGGTTATGTATAAAAATATTCAGGTTATATAAGTGTAGAAAGTTATGATTCAGGTTATATTGATGTTTTATAACTCAAGTTATATAAACACCTTGTAACTTTGACCTAAGTTATATAGGCACCAGGGTTAACACCACACCTCCATGTGAGCATGGTGTCTCTGCCATGCTCATCTTACAGCAGTTATTTATACATTTACAAGTTTGCCATCTGCCCTGTTTGTTTGTTTATCTAAAAGTTACAGTCTTTAGGGGTTGGGATCTTCCATAACTTGTGGTTTTCTTAGCTTACAGTTACAAACATGGCACACTATTCTTATCTAATACATTCATCACACCTATTTTGCTTATGCTAACTAGCTTGTATTCTTACACACTTCATTGCTATATGTGGTTACTGTGTTAGAGAGAGAGGAAACGAGACAGCAGGAACAGCAACACACATGGACTTCTTTAGGGAAAAAAGGCTGACTTTATTAACAATCAGCCTGTATTTAAAGCATATTATGGAGAGCTAAGACAGGACAATAGCTCACTGGATAATTGGGAAAAACATCCGTGAGACTGTACTTTAGAATGTGTCTCACATAAAAACACTAGGTGTTGATCTTTATTGTGAATTTTATTTTGTTTTTCACTGGATTCCATTCTGTTTTGACCGGATTATTATCCTGGGAGAATTTCTACCCAGCTGAAGCTAGAACCAGCTTATCAGCCTGGGAATGAAGCTGAAAAGCTCCAGCCTGAAATATTTTTCAGGTTGTAATTTTGCTAGCTTTCTAACAGTGTGTCCACAGCTATATCAGTTGTATTTCATCCGTAATTATATATTATGCTCCAACTCTTTTATTACATTTTTCTGTCCTTTGTGACAGCTCTTCTATTAGTCATAAATCAGCAGTTAGTAGGCGTTCTTCCTTATTGCTTCTCTCACGCAGGTTGAGCCCTTGTCGTGCAGAAGAAGTGGTTAACCAAACCCATTCGCTCCCATTCCTTTCCCTTATCATCTTAGTCCACTTGGTTTTTTGTTTTTCTCCAAGAGCAGTTAGCATTAGGCATAGCATCTACTATTTGCTTATCATTGTATGTTCCTTGTTTTGTAAAAGCCGTTGCAATCTAGCACAGCTGCTAACACTGCTAACACCTAACATTTATTAATCTATACTCTATACTAAGGTGCTTGTTTTAAAGGAGTCCTGTGTTTCATAGGGATAGAATACAATAACATTTTGGGTTACCCATGACACCTCAGATTACTGATGTCTCAAAACTTCTTACTTCCAAAGTTTTGCTTTCTTTCTTGTATAGTATATGTTTAAGGTAAGAAAAATCTTACACTGTCAGGTGTGCTAAATACATTCCTTTGTCTCCTGTTCTCACAGACAATCCATTATTTGCAGTGTTTCAAACTGGTAATTGCTCACTCAGAATCAGAACATCATTTCAGTGTATGAAACGTGTATTTATCTATATTAGGAAAAATTTAGTTCTATAGGTGAGCAAGGGGCATAGTCCAGTTTGAAATCTATACAGGGTGCTGGAATGAATTAAATTTGGATGAACTAAGATATGTTTTCAGGTGCATTGGCTAATGTTCTGAGATTATCTCATGCTTTTATTCTTTGTGTTAGACAGGGCTATGAAGAACTGGAAAGACAGCTAAAAGAAGTCTTTAAGGAGAGGAGCAACATACTTCAGCAGCTCTTAAAAACTTCTAAAGAACTTCAGGGAATTAAAGTAAACCTCCAGGTTAGACTCTGTCTCAGTTTCTGTAGGATTACTCTACTTACCTCAACATTTTCTTATTGGTGTCTTTTAATTACAAAAAATGTGTTTCTTTATTAAAAGCATTAAATATGTGAAGAATTATTATTTTGTTTATTTTGTTGATCTTCTACTTAACATAAACCTGATGGTTTCATGGAAAATTTCATCCTAATGTCTTGGGGCCTTTGTCAACTCAATAAAAATAAAGAAAATAAAGAAAAAAGAAAGGAAGGACAAGAAATATGCAATATTAATGGAGCTGACACTGGCAGCTACTGCAAAGGATGTCCTTTGCTGTTGCAGTTTGAGTCTTTGCTGCTGAATTCCATACACTCAATTTAGGTGCTCAGTTTATCTTTCTGACATGCCATCTACACAGTCTGACTGGATTTACTGCAGGGCATTGCTTTATGATTCACTTGACAAACTGTGCTAGATGAGCCTGAGACTTCTCTGCATTTAACTTCTGGGTGTCATGGTTAGGCTGAAAGGGCAGTAGATTAACTCTGAACTCAAATCTGCTCCTCAGATGAAAAAGTAGATTGAAAATGTTGTCCTGGATTTGAGGTCCAGATATTCTGCTGAGGGAGCACCTGTCTTTTCCCAGTAGAGTCTGTTGGTCTGGTGAAAACATTTAGACTCTTTATCAATTAAAATTGGTCTCTCATGGTATTTCATGCCATTTTAAAGGAAATTATTTTTCTGACAATACATTTTTATCTTCATTGACATAAGCTAGCTGGGAAAAATGAAGGGAGAAGAAGCACTCTATCTTTTGACAGAATACTAGTGGTGTGTGTCAGTGCTGTGCTATATTATATTATTATGTTATATTGTCTCATGTTCCAGACTTCTCTGGTTTTAATTAATCTTTGATCTTTGGGGTTTTTGGTTTGGGAGTTAGGTTTAATTTTGGGGGTTTTTGAGTGCTTTATCACTGTTATTGTAGGCTTTTTCTTACTTTTTAGAGAAATATGCTTCTCCTTGTAGCAAATTTATTTTAGAAGGTGACACAGTTGAAGGTAGTATTCAGCAAAATTACACTGTGAAATATTTTAGATTCGACACTACAGAGATCCTGATACAGGCAAAGAGCTGTAGTCTTATTTTCTGTGTATACACACTTACTGGGTCATAAAATTCTAATGGTTTTAGTCATTTGTCTGTTTCTAAATCTGCTTATTGTATTTAGCTCTCATTTAGTATTTGAAAAATACACAGCTGTGTACACTTAACTGTGTTTGAGTTACATTAAAAGAAAAATCAGACTATTCTTCCTGTTTTCTTAAGTGTCTGCAATTCACCAGGACCATTTTATGAACAAGGGCCAAATACTTTCACAGATTAATAATAAAAAAGATCTCTTTAATGGAGTTTCTTTTTGTTGCTATCAGTCTTTAAAAAATGATGAAACATCAACCAAAAAGGATGTGCAGAAACTTCTGGAACTGGGCCAAAACCAAAGGTAAGACTCTCAATTCTTTTCCTGACTAAAAACTGTCAGACTAGCAAATTCCACCTTTCCTTTTACTATATAGGCAAACACTGCTCTATGCCAGAGTCTGCTGATTGTAACAGTAAAATAAAGGCAGGAAAATGCTCTTTTTGAAACAAATGATGGATTTGCTGATATTGGACGTATGATAGGTAAATGTACTAAAATGGTATGGTGAGATATCTGCTAAAGAAAGACATTTTGAATTTTAAAGGAAGATTTAGTCATGAAGTATTCCTTAAAAATAAATTCAGTATTTTTTTGAAAATTAAATTACTGAAGTATCTAAATCTCTAAGTTTGGAGATGATGACATTTATTCAAACCTCTTAATTAAATGTTTAAGTGTGTAGATACTCAAAATCACTAGTCCATGTGCAAACAGGAATACTTGCACTGGATATTTGTGATGAATGGAGTTAGGAGGAGAAAAAAGTATTAATTTTAAATTATTCATTGAACACTTAAACACTAGTTCCCATGGCTGGGAATGCAAGTTCCCAGCCTAGTCCTTAGTCTCAATTTCCCTGGTGCTTTATTGCAAGTAAGTCTCATCATTCTGTGTCTCTTAATTCTGGAAATTCAGACCAGCAAATAGCAACATCAATACAACTTTAATAACAAGAAAACATAACTAATATAGTGACCACTTTTGCTGGAAAAAAAAGTATATAATGAGTGCATCTATACTTCATCTTTTTCCCTAGGAAAAATGTTTAGTAAGAAACTTTGTTAAGTTCATACCTCCTTCATTATTAAAAATGCAATAATTAAATTCCATGTAAGACTGTTCCATGGTCTTACCTCTACATTCACTGTAGAAGTGCACATGGAAGTACATATGAAATTGCACTGCTACATAGAAACCTTGTCAGAAAATGACCTTCATGTCTTAAATACCCAATTTATAAGATCCACAGTGCAATACCAGCAGAATTTCTTCTTTTTACTGTGATACATAACAATCTTTCAGGCATTCCAGACAAATATATTAAATTATAAAGGTAAAACTTTAGCTAGTGTCCTGTTTAAATACCTGGGTGGCTTGGATGTGACTGAAGGTGTACATCTCAGCATCATAGCTGTCCTTTGCACAGACGAAATCCTCCATCATCCATGAATGCAGTTTTGTGGTGGTTTGATTGTTGTGCAACTTTCCTTTCTGCAATTGAGACATGAATTGATTGAAAGTGTTAATAGACTGTTTAGTAAATAGGTCTTATTTGCAGATGGGAAAATTGAGTCCGCTGAAAGAAAATTTTATTGCATATTTCAAATATTCTTCCTAATCTCCTCCCTAAATCACCACTTGCTGTCTCTCAACATCCACCCAAAATTACATTTTGACTTTTGCTTCTAAGGCATCCAGTCATTGACTGTACTGCACAGGAGCAGTTCCCAGAAATAAAGAGTGGATCATTGCAATCTCCTGCTGGGCAGCACTCCATCGTTCAGAAAATGAAAGGTTTTTGCTGTACACTACAAGGAAATGCTTTGGGGCTACTCCTGTTGCCAGCTGTTTATAGACTTACTAGATTTCATTTCCAGAGAGGTGTAGAAGTTCAGTGTATGAAAGAGGTGTTAAAAATGTGCCAGGGAATCTTTCTTATAGAATTTCGCTAAGGAAAGGTCACAGTTTATTTGCCAGGGTCCTCAGGCCATGTTTTATCTGCAGTAAATGAAGAAAAGTGAACACAGTCTTATGCTTAAATCTATTCCATTGAAGTCAAAATTCAAAATATATCCCAGTATTAATGTTATGAACTTTCTTTGAACAAACACGAGCTGCATTTGATCTGAGCACCACTTTGATTACAATGCTGGGTGATACAGTGAAGTTTAGAGTACTAGAATCTCAGCTTTTGTAAGGAAATGTTCTGCTGACTTCAAAATTGATGTTTTAAATTCCTTTTTGTGCAAATTCTTCAGTAATTCCCAAACTGCAATAAAACTTGCTCGCTTACTATGATGCCCCCAGTTTTATTCTCCCTGTGCATCAACACATGGAAATGATGGCATCTCTTAGTGCTGGTAGTATATTGTTTTCATGCTGCTCAATCACTTTTTCTATTAAATCTGTTCTGTACCAGTGTTGCCGAAATTGCTGAAAGTAGTAGGGGTTATCAGCCAAAAAAAAAAGATCCAGCAGGTATCAAGTTCTTTTAAAATTAGGTGGTTTCCATCCAGTTTAGTTTTCACAGGTTAAATTACTGTTTTACTGTGTGTAAATCCAGTTTTGGCTTGATCTTCACTGAGAGTTTATCCATGCGAGCAGTAACCCTCCAAAAGCTCTACAGCTCCTATGATATATGTCATTTTACTACTTTGCTACAACTCAAAGTGTGTCATATGCTGTGGGTAGAAAATTCTTGCAGTTTGGAGAAAATCTCTGACTGAATCACTAATGCAAAGGGTTTTCACTTGATTCAAATAAAGCCTAATCCAAGCAATTATCCTGTTCTTTTTTCTTTTAATGCCAGAATCTTCTACTGAATGTTTTGTTCGTTATGTCTAGAAAGTGCCATATGAGGTTGAATTTTATCAGAGCATGATTTATTTGTTTATTTTAAAGAGATATCAACTAGTTCTTATAGATAATAGCATGTCTCCATGTCAGTGCATTTTCCCTTGCCACTTTCCTCACTTTTTTGGTCCCAATTATTTTTGTTAGAAATTATGCACTGGCAGATGTTTTGCATAGCAGACCATTCAGTAGAAATAAACAGTGGCCCCTTTGCATCATAGATAATTTTTGTTTGCATTGGCACTATACTTCATGGAGTCATTATGATTTTATTTGCAAGACTCATGGAAACAGTACATCTGTTTGCTACTCTGAATAACTAAAGGTCTAATTTTTTGAATCTGAAGAATTAATTCCTAATGAACACTTGTGTTGAAGTTTGTATTCTGTGTTTTCAACAAACTAGGGAAATGAAATCTCTCCAGGAAGCCTTTCAAAAGCAGCTTAATGAGGCAGCTGAGAAAGCAGAGAAGCAGCAGGCTACCGTGAGTGATTGTCTTTCCTTCCTTATTTTTGTTGTTCTGGTTTTTCTTAGTCTTGCCTTGAGAATTTACTAGCTGAAAAAACTTTGTAAAAAATGAATGGATTTCACATATGTGTTCGTACTCTGCAAGCATCACAAGAAAGGAGCTGGAAAAAGTTTTAATGCTCTAAAATATTAAGATTCCCATCATCCCTTATTTCTGTGGAATTTAGGCGTGTTTAAATAATTTTGGAGACTTTAAATAGGAAATTTAGGCCTAAGTCCTGTCCCTGGTGAGATGATCTTTGTGGACTGTCGTGTCTCATTTATACTAATATACACTGTCATACATCCATTGACTTTTTAGGAATTACTATGGATTTTCAGCAACAAGATAGATTATAGAGTGTCTGATTTTGACCATAGTAGAACTAATTATCACTATAGAAGGTATTATTAAGTCCCATTAAGATTTCATGTTTCATGGAAATTCTATTTCTGGACAAACTGCACAATTGTTTTGATTTTCATGTAGCAGGTTTTGGAGCATAAATAGACCAATTTTGCTACTGTAGGGGGAAAAAAAAGTAGAATCGTGTTTAAGATGAAAGAAGGAAAGTTATACTATGGTGGTTAGTAATGTTCCTGTAACATGGACACAAGTGAGTGAAACTCTAGTCAGCTAGCTGAATAGATAATGTTTAGATGTTCCTTCAAATCTTAGTGTCTTCTGATTTGAACTCTGGACTTGAAAACAACCTTCTAGAAGTGTTTATACATCTATTTGATATTTTATATTGGATAACTACTGATTTATTTACTAAGCTTTTTGCTGTCTTTCAGGGTCACAAAGCAAGGGTTTGTCCAAGACAGAGGTCTAAATGTAATTATTAAATGTAAAAAATATTTACAATGCCTTATTTCATATGACTATGATTTGTACATGGCTTTACACCCTTGGTGAACAAAATGTGAGAGTGTGTTTTCCTACCTTCTGATTAGAAACAGCATAGATTATGGACCAAACGATTCCTTTTACAGATTTCTTTCAGTTAATCTGACTTTTGAAAACACACTTCTTCCCTTTGTTGCTCAAAAGTCTGAAGAGTAAAGATACCTTTTGTTCTTGTGTACTTCACAACATATAATTAGTGTATTTTTAGTACTTGTATTTTTGTCTAGCTCAAAAGAACTTTTATCCTCTTCAGGAGCAAAAGGAAGTAATCTGAAAGCTGTATTGAATTAGAAAAGGATAGCATATTTTGGTGGTCTTTCTAGCCAGGACAGCATGTATCCAGAAAAAAAACTAAATAAACTGCACTTTTAAGATCTTTTTGTACTGAGAAAATCTAAAAATTGTCTGTACTGAATCCTAGAGCCATAGAATGTTAAGGGATTGGAATGGACCTTAAAGATCATCAAATCCCAACCTCCCCTGCCATGGGCAGGGACTCCTCCCACTGGATCAGGTTGTCCATATTGAACCTGGCTCTGAACACTGCCAGGGTTGAGCATCCACAGCCTCCCCACTCAGCCTGTCCCAATGCCTCACCTCCAGCACAGTGGAAGATTTCTTCTTCATACCTAAACAAAATTTCCACTCTCTCAGTTTACAGCCATTACTCCTTGTGCTGTCACTACAGTTCCTGATGAAGGGTCTCTCTCCAGCTTCCCTGTCGGTCCCTTCACATACTGGAAGGTTTCTCTAAGGTCTCCAGGCTGGAAGCTTTCTTTTCTCCAGGCTGAACAGCTACAGCTCTTTCAGCCTGTCTTCACAGGGGATGTGTTCCAATCCTCTTATCAGCTTTGGTGCCCTCCTCTGAACTTGCTCTGACAGTTCCATGTCATTCTTGTGCTGGGGACACCAGAACTGTACACACCACTCCAGGTGGGGTTTCACAAGAGCAGGGTGGGGGGAGAATCACCTCCTTCAATATAGTTCTGAAATAAGAAAAAAAAAATCTAGCTGTCTCTGATAAGTATTCAGAACATACTATTGAAAGATAACATTTTTTCAGGTGCATTGAATGCATTCCTATTGGCTTTATCAGCACAATGAATTCTAGTCCTACAAAGGGAAGTGGAATACATATTTCATTATTGAATCTCTTTATTAGATTTTGATACTCAAGACTAATTCAGGTGTGGATTACATAAATCTCAGATGTAGTAAATGGATTTGTTGGTATCGGTTATATAGTTATATATGTATATAGTTACAGATAGTTTTTTATATATATAGTTATAGTTTGTTATATAGGTTTTTTTTGTTTGAGCAATAATGCCTTGTGTACATACAGTCCTACTCTAGCACTTTGAAGAACAAAAGATTTGTTCTACAAAAAACAACATCTACCATTAACTGTGAACAAAATATCACCTGGTGTAGAAACCAGGAAAAGCTGCTGAATGTATAACAGAGCCTGGCTGGAGTGGTGGCAGATGGTTAAAGAATCTGAATTCTCGAGCTGTATTCCAATACTCACCACTAATAGCATATTAAACTTGCTAATAATTCAAAGGAAATCAGAACTGTGTCCTTGGTTTATGACATTTACTTCTTTATGCCTCAGGGTACAATGTACATAGTGAAGCTCAACAATACAGTGAGAGAAAGAATATTCAGAAAGTGCCTCAGGATCTTCAGATGAAAATTGCAATAGAAATGGAGATAGATACTATTACTGACACACAAAGTTATATTTTACCCGGTTTCTCTCTGTTTTCCACACTTTTTCGGAAAATAATGTGAAATCTATGAAAGAAGGTCTAAGTATTTTAATGCAAGATTAGCGAGAGGATGGGAGCTTGAATTTAATTCTAATTTAATGAATTGTGAAACTTGTTTCTAATCCAATCTAAGCACATTTGATATTATTTGACTTGGTGAAGTAAATCTTGATTTTCATCAGAGTAAATGAAAGTAGAATTACATTTCACAAAGACTAATAAAGCACTGGTGTGAGGGGGAAGGGTGGAATTAGAATTACATATTTCTTTTCTGCACTTGCCAAGGAGGCACAGTACAGTGCTTACTGTATGTATGTTAATTGGCTGTATCAATTCAACAGGTAACACCTGCCTGAAAGTGCTCCTTATTAGATCAATGTAAAAGTGTAAGTAAGAATTCAGAAGAATTAATTCAAATTAAATGAAAAATAACGGGGAAATTGCTCAAGGACTCTGACCAAAACAAAAGAACAAAGGAGACACAAGAGCTGTACATTAGACTTTACATTCATGTCTTCTTGTGCAATGTGTGGCAGGGCTTTTCACTAGCATTGCATGAATGATTCATCAGAAACAGAGATATCAATGTTATTATGTTTACATATCCATTTTTTGACCCTTTAAGACTAGAGAAGCAGCTGAAGTGTTGGTGGGCACCACCTCCAGCTGGTACTGGGAGCTGCTGCTAGGTAGTAACAAAACCTTTTGAGGATAGAAGCAACAACTCAGGCTTGAGGAAAGTAAAAGGACATTCCTGTCCTTTAGAGTAGTAACCACACTGAGGGCTGAGCTGGGGCATCTTAACAGGAGTGGGCACTGCCTGTCTGGATTGTGTCCTGCACCTGGGGCACTGACAAAGAGCAGTAGCAGTCTGTCTTGGGCCAGTTTGAATGAAAGAATTTCACCTTAACTGCTCATTTTAATCCTGAACAAGGTATAAGGAGTCTGGAGGTAAGTGAATATGCTTACAGCTGAGTCTTGGCTGTGCAGTAATGATGTTATATTGGGATTTTTCCATCCTGTCATGAATAGCTACTGTTGCCTGACTCTTAGAATTAGATCTCTACCATCTGCTAAAGCATTCTCTATTTTGATGGGGGAAAATTTAATTTAAACATTTCGAGGTCACCAACTGCTGTGAGTAAAGGCCACTGGTTGGAAACTGTTGTCTTTAATAAACATAATGAGCTCCAAAACACACAAAGCTCTGAATATCTTGGATGACTGTCTCCAGGATATGGAAGCAGTGTCCTTGCTTAGTACTGAAAAGTTCACCCTTAGGACAATATATTTTCATTATGTATTGTCATAATTGCAGCCACATAGCAATTAAAGGCAGACAACATATAGAAAGAGGTGAATGTTATTTTTCTCGCTATTAATTGAGTGCTGAGCATAAATATCTGTTCTTGCTTATTATACTATCGGGATCTGATGACTGAAAGCAGCATTTTTACATCTCTTCTGGAAAGTTATTTTATGTCTTGTCCTTGACACTTACTAAAAGACCATGCAAATGGTCTGATACAGACTGATCTGCCTTAAAGCATGAAGCTTTATATACATGGATACACTTAAATGGATGGGTAAAGTTATCCCTTTATTGGCTCTAGTAGACAAGCCATATAAATTCCTCCCTTGTAACTCTCCATATCTATACTTTGTGAATAAGTGGTTCTTCATTTGTTTGAGACTTAATAGAAGACCCTTAAAATGCTGTTATAATATAAATGCAAAAAATAATGAGTTCCTAAAGATTATTTCTGTTATTTTTGGAAAAGGAAGTGATGTAAAAATATAGATTTTTTTTTTTTATTCAGCTAAGCTAAATTGGTATGTTTGCACTATTTAAGACGTCCATATCAGTGATATAAGGTGCAAGTGTATGTGAATAGTAATGAACAAAATTTAACCAACATAGATTACTGGATAAATTTATAGCACTGGGCTGTCTTAAATGTCTCTTCCCTAAGAGATCCAAGCTATGTAGAGATAATAATTTTGGTATCATATCTCTTTAATTATTTCATACATATTAATAGCTAAAAGTGAAGTGCCTTGAAGGAATATTAAATTCCTGAGAGATACATCTAAGAAAGGGAACACTCTTTAATGGAGGTCAGTATATAATTTTTTTCAGTATTTAATGGTAGGTAGCTGGCAATTGCTTTGAACACCTGAAAAAACAAAATAACCACAATAAGTAGCTGTATTGTGTTTCTCCCCATTCATCTTGATCTGATATTCTGATTATGACCTTTATTTTTCTGTTGTGCAAGATCTTCATATTTATTATCTATACATGTTCTAAATGTCAATATTGTGGATGTCATTGCTGGGCAGGTGCTGAATAAAGCATCATTCTCAGCCAGTGGGTGGATGTGGAATCAGTATTTCCACAATCAAAAAATACTTTTCAGTTAATATTGTTTTAAAACTCCTTTGTTCTTTGACTATCACATTGAACTGTGGAAAATGAACACTATGTCTACTGGTTCAAAAGTAACCCTATTTACATACAGCAATTTTCCTTTGATTATAAGTTTCCTAGTAAATATGCTAAATGTTTGTAGATGTAGCAAATTCTTGACTGTGGCCTATACCAATTCAGTATGTAAACAAAATTTTTTTGTTTGGTGGTTGTTTTTTTCCCAAGACATTGTAAAGCATAAAAAAATAATTAGTGTTTACAATTGCATCTCATCAACTCCCACTCAACATTTCTTTAAAATTGCAGATTAACTTTTTGAAGACTGAAATGGAAAGGAAGAGCAAAATAATACGAGACCTTCAAAATGAGGTAAGAGGAACATTTGATTATCATCTCAATTCAGATTTCATACTGGAAGAGAGTGTGATTTGGCTTCATATATAAAACATGTTCCTGTAGTATGCAAAAAAGGCACCAGTGCAATTTTCTGAACAGGAAAGCAAATGAAAACGACTGTGTGCATTTAGAAATATTGTTTCATTGAATGCAATGGTTGACTCCATGCTAGTGGTGCTTAGTTTGATAGCACACCTCTGTACTTCTCTGAAGTTCTCTAGGTTATTGACACACAGTGAAACTTTGTTCATATTGTTATATCTTGCTTTAAAAATTAATAGCAAGAGAAGGAGAAAGGAAATGCAATCTCAGAACTGAGATTCTTAATAAAATTTAAAAAAACTCAAACTCCTAAAATGTATTTTTAAGTTTTGTATGCCATGAATATCAATCCCAGATTGATCTCAAAATTCCAAATAAAATATAAAATATGTTTTAAATAACGTTTATTGGTATTATGTTGAGATTGTTGGGAGAGTTCTCTCTGGGGTACTGAAGAGGGGACTCTCATTTCTGGTTCTGTTTGAGAGAGAAAAGCATGGTGACTGAAATGGTAGGGTACTGTTTTACTGTCCATGTAATTTGTTTTTCTTATACCTTCTGGTAGTAATATTGTTACTGTTACTGTTCATTTTCTTACCTCATTGCTGTTTCTAGTCAATTGCTCTTATCTCAATCTGTAATTTTCACCTTTGTGCCTCCAATTCCCAACTCCATTCCTGGAGTGGAAAGTGGAGGGGAAGGGGGTGAGCTGGTTTGGGAGAGTTCTCACTGGGGAGTTTTATTCCTAAAACACAATTGAAAATGTCTCTTTCAGTTTCTCCTGTTATTTAGGCCATGCTCTCCGTTGTCTTCATCTACAGTCAAAAATACCTTGCTCTGTTTTGTCACCTGTTATCATTGGATGCTTTGCAATTGGGCCTGCAAACTCTAATAAATCATATCAGTCTCATCCTATTGACCAGCCATTAAAAAAATCTTTTCTCTCACTGAACACAAATACTTCATTAATTAATCAACATTCAAACTGTCTGACTGTTAATGATTTGCTTAGGTAGGTAAGCAAACTTCTCTAATATTTACCACATTTATGGCAAATTTTAGAAAATCTATTTTGAAAGGAATCTTTCTTTTGGCACCAAATATCAGCTACTGTGTGGAAAAGGAACCAAAAGCTACACCTGCCTAATGGCTTTCTATTAAACTTTTGTACCAGGTTTCTTAGTTCCTTGAAAGTAAGCACTTCTATCAGTTTTTTGGAAATTGACTGAATTTAAATTATATGATCTTGAGGAAATATTATGTTATTTACGTCCTGCCTCCAAACACTGATACACATTGCTTTTAAAAATCTCATCAATTCGGATGTGCTATGTATTTAAATAATTGATAGCATTTTATGTGTAGGTTTTGAAAGAATAATCTGCATACAGATTATATAAAGAGAGAGATAATGAAGATGCTTCCTTCATGGGTGCTCTTGTTCTTTCAAATATTGCAAAATCCCTCATTTTGTATTGCCAAATTGTGAATTTTGCAATCTTAGGCTCTTCTGTGGCTGTAAAAATAATTTCCTATTTGATTCTGCTCTTTCAGTGTATACCCTAGTGCCATTCAGCTTTGCCATTTGAAGATACAAATAGATGGCAACAGCCTTCCAGCTGAATGCAGCAGCTGTCATGTAGTATGTCAGGAGAGGACATTGCACAGAAAGGCAATTTTTAGACTATTCAAGGCTTTGGGGGGAAAAAATAACAAAAAATTGTCTGTGGTATGGAGGAAAAGAAGTGCCAGGTAGAGCACAAAGGGATCAGGTATCTCAAAATCATCTGGTTTATAGAGGTCTTAAGGTGCTTCCTGAAAATAGCACAAAATATCTGTCAGACTTGCAGCTGTAACATCATATGGATTGTGTTAAAGTAGTCTTAAAGGATTGGATGTAAACAGATATGCTCTTATTACAGTTTTTATTATTGACAAAGAAATCAAGAAGTTTGGAAATGCAGAATCACTGGTAGAACTAAGAAGCTTACAAAAATGTGGAGTAAAATAGAATATGATAAAAAGAGCTACTTTAAAAATGGTGACTTTTGGAGATGGCCTGTTACACAGTGAGCAGCTCACTTCTAGCATATCATATGGTCTGTGGGAAATTGTGCCTGTGTTCAGTCTGGCTGATATAGAGTTTATTTTCTCTTAGCAGCCCTCCCAGGGCTGTGTTTTGCATTGGTAGCTGGAATGATGCTGATAACACACCAGAGTTTTGGTTACTGCTGAGCAGCACTGTCCCTCTGACATTCCTTCCCCCATCAAAATTCTGAGAGGGGGCACGGGCAGGCCAGCTGACCCAAATAACCAAAGGCATATTCCATACCGTGTGGACATCAGCTCAGATGTAAAAGTGAAGGCAGAGAGGAGGGACAGGGTGGGACATTCATTATTCTACAATGTTTGCCTTCCAGAGCAGCCACTCTGCAAACTGTGGCCCTGCTTCCAGAAAGTGTCTGAACATTGCTTGCTGATGGGAAATAGAGATTAGGTTTTCCCTTTGTTTATGCATGCACAAACTTTCACTTGTTTTTTTCCTTTGCCTTAGTAAACTGCCCTATCTCAACCTACTCGTTGTTTCCCATCTTATTCTCTCCCCTGTTCCACTGTGGAGTGATAGAATGGCTTTGTGGGCATCTGCCACCCTGCCAAGGTCAAAGCACTGCAGTGCCAAAACTGCTCTGAAAATGAAGCTGAAGCAGAATGCTCTGACTGCTCTTCTAACCCTTGTTTAGAAATAAACATGAGTCTTGACAATTTGGCACTTAGAACTAATTGTTTTGGTGCAACTCTGAATATGTATGTACATGATGGATTAATTTCTTAAATTAATGTCTTTTCTACATGGAAGTGTGTGGTACATTTTCTAAGTTTGTTATTCTTTTCCTACTGGTACACCTATAAAAATCATCTTTCTCTACTGAACAGTAGAGAATTGTAATTCAGTTTTTTCACATGGATGCTATACTTGTCCCACATTAGACTTAGAAATTAGAAATTAGAAATTTGAAGAACAAAAAAATTTACTCTTATTTAAACCATTTAATTACATTTGGTTAACAATTTTTAACTATTTTATTGCATTTGACAAGAAGTGACTGACTGCCTTAACATACTACCTCTGGGCAAAGGGTTTTATAATATTTCTGTGAATATCTAGATTAAGGTGTGTTAATAGCTTTATAGTATATGGGATTGCAATAATCCCATGTATTTGTAAAGTTGATGCAGGGGTTTATATAAGGCAATATTGGTTTTGCTGTTTAGACTGTGGCAAAAATTTGAAAAATATTAATGAATTTTAGCTGTAGCTGTCACTACTGTGGAGGGGGGTTGTTAAGAAGGATAGTTTTAAATCACAACCATATAAACAATTATTGTGCACTATTCATATATGAATTGTGGTTATAGCTTTAATGTTGAGTAAATCATCCTAAACCAGAATTTTTTCCATTCTCATTGTATGTAGCTGCACTAATAAAGCCTATATTAAATAGAGCTTAAGCTGAAGCAGCTTAAAGTCTCATCTGATATATTGGGAGTGTCATGCCCTGCAGGGTGGCTTCAATCGAGTTGCATTGAATTATGGTGGGAAAAAAAAAAAACAAAAAATGTCCCTTAGTAAAGCAGAAGTTAAATTCTAAGGCTTTGAGACTGTATGCTGATACTGACATTGGATTTCTTCAGTTTCCATATTCTGCAGATAAAACTAATTTTTTGTTCCTAAGTATAAAATCCTGTCTGCTTGGGAAGAAAATTGGGTAAAGTCCTGTGCCCTTCTTGGATGCTGCATTGGTGGTTCTGCAACTCAGGAAACACCACAAGTGTCAGAGATGGGGGCAGTGCCTAGGAAAGGGGGAATGGGCAGGAAGGGTGCAGGAGCAGCTGCAGGTATCATGTTCTACTGAATTCAATATTGTTTATTGATTGATTCCACCTCCTTCTGAAGTAAAAGTCCCATTTTAAAAAATAATTTACTTAATATTGTTCTACGACTTTTTTTTAATTGAATGTGACCAGGAAAAGGTAGAAATGTAGTTCAGTCAGTTGGAAATGGATTTTAGGGGACAACATATGAGAAAAAATTAACACTGAATCATGATTGTCAGTGAGATATATTTATAGTGATACAGTAGCAACTGCAGCAAAAATTAAATACCTTTTACTTTCAAAAGCTTTGTTTTCCTGACCTTGTAGACATGAGAGCATAGGACACATATTCTCAGGTGCTGTTGAATGACAATCAGAATCCAAGCATCAGTTACAGCAATGTAATGAATCTGCTGTGTCTGGACCCCACACTCGTAGGGAACACTATATTTTTTTATTCTTTCTTCATTCTTTACGTCCAGGTGCAAGGCTTAAAGATTCCCATTCATAAGCTACAACAAAGTGAAGGAGAAGATCAAATAAGAATGTTTAGGTAAAATATATCCTTAACAAATTAGAAGATTAAAAATTAAGATTAAATTAGCTTCTTAACTGGTACTTAACCACAATGTTTAGAACACTAACTTGGATTGCTTGGGTTTTACCTGATATTATTTTTCTGTTGTCTTATCAGTTAACTGCACTATTAAAAAATCAGAAATATTCATTAGTAATCAGTCATTCTGGTGTCTTTCCTCACGCTGCCCAGGACACTCTTAAATTCTTATTTCTGACATCCTTCTTCATTAAGTCCAAAATTCCAAAATGGATCTGAATTCTTATTTTTTCTCCTCAGTCATCTAGTCTTGAATCTTTATAGTCTGACTTTTTATCCCTGAAGCTTAGCTTTTTTCCGTTGTCATTTGTAACAAAATATGATCCACGAAGAAAATGATTAAGTTCTAATCTTTGTTTCCTTTCATAGAAAGTTTCTACTGTGACTAGTGCTTCTGGACACCAATGCTACATAATGTGGTAATATTGAAGGTCAACTC